CGTTATTATTATGTAAGAAATTTATGTAGATATTCAAAAAATGGTTTAAGAAATGATTATTAAAAATACTTACTTTTTTAAATCCTCTTTCAAAAACTTTTGTAATCCAAGAGATATTCATAATAATTTAACAGAAATACATTTCATTTCAATTTCTTCTAGAATTCTTTAAACTATTTTGAAATACAAAAAGAAATGCTACATAAACAATTCCTTTATTAAAAAAAATTTACCAAATAAGGTATTCATGAATCATTCATTTTTTATATATGTATAAATAAAAAAAAAATAATAATAAGGTTCATTGTTACAATTTTACATCTCTTAGATAAATGTTCTTTATGACGCATTTTTCAAATATTTTATTATATGTTGAAATAATTATAATATAACTGATATACATTCACCATGTGATATGGGATTTGATAATAAAAAATTAAAAAAAACCAATGATATTCTAATGATATTTCTATTTATTTCAATGCTAAATATCCTTCTTTATAAACCGCAATTTCCTTTGTGATAGAAAGAAGACGATCCCTATTTCTGGAGTCTTCTTTGATTCTATTTTTAAACGTGCGTATCAAATCATTAACTTTAACACTTTTAGTAAGAATTAAATCTTTGATCTCCCTTTCCGTTATTAAATTGGAACCGGAAGGTGCACTTGAGGATCCAGGCTGCCTTGCAATTGATGATGCCTTTGAAATTTTTTGCTTTTTCGAAGGTCCACCGTCTTCAGGTGATGTTGGTGAACTAGGTGAAGTGTTGGCAGATCGAGCAGGTGTAGGTGTGGTAACAGGAGTAGGTTTTTGTACATTTGATGATCGTGAACGTTTCTTGCTTGATGAGGAGTTTTCTATTTCTGATAAAGTTGAATCAGAAGATAATGCCCTTTTTTCAGGTACTATTGTTGGAGAAGAATTAGGTGTATTAGTCGTTGAAGGTTTAGATGTTGATGTAGATACAGAAGTGGGTTTTGATGTTGGAGTCGATACAGATGTTATTTTTGACGTTGGTGCAAGTGTTGGTGTTGTTGTTGTTGGAGGTTTTACAGGTTTGGTCTTTTGATTATCAATCTGCAGTTTAGAAAATTTTTCAGTTTGTAGTTTTGGTTTCGTCACAGTTTCTGTACTCTTGACCTTATTAGAAGGAACAGTTTTAGGGGCAACTTGTTTTTGCTTAGATTTTGGTTTAGGCTTTTCAACTATAACTTTGGGTTTAACATTTGCGGGTGCCTTATTTTTCGGTGGCGCCGCTTTGATAACTTTAGATTTAGAAGTTGATTTTCCTTTTTCTGAAATTTTCTCAGTTTTCATTACTGGTGAAGCTTTATTAGATGATGGCCCAGTAGTAGATGATTGTTTTGAAATTGAGGAAGTATCTTCAGAATCAGTTGCATCACTTTCGGTGACATAAGGGTTTGATTCACGATCACTTTCATATGCATCATTATCGTCATGTGTACGAATTAATTTTTTCATTTGTTTTCCTTCTGAAGTTAACTTTTCTTCTTCATCTGATGATTGATTGTTAAGCTCGAAAGGATGTTTAACTTTGGCCTTGAGTTTTCCCACTTCTTTTGTTTCATCATCTATTAGAGGATTTGCATCATCCGGAAGATCCTAAAAAAAAAAAAAAGATTTGAATATTATAAAATTTTGTAAATATTTCCACAATCTATATATAAACATACCTCTTCATCATCTTCGAATATTTCATCGTAATCCATCTCTTCATCAAACCCTTCACGGGATGGACGATGCTCTTCATCGGAACCAAATAAATCTTCTTCGTTTTCAACGGTTTTTATACTAGATTTTGGATCATAGATTCCACCTTCTTCAGTGGCAATATCTTCTGCTTCTGTTGTTTTACCAAATTTTCTCATCATCCAACGATCACTTTCCATTTTTTTAGCACGGGCCATCTAAGATGACAAGATTTAACTTTTTAACAACTGTTCATTTAATTAATAAAATATATACATGTGCATATATATTTGTATATTTATATATTTACTTGTTCTTCAGCTTCTTCAATCGTTAAAATTTTATGTTTAATTTTCCTCTGAAATTCATAAAATCTGTGAACGGGAACAAATCTTAGTCTGTCTACCTAAAAAAAATCATGTCAAAAAATTTTTAAAAATCATTTATTTTTCAAATCAAGATTAAGAAAAATTCTTAAAATAATAATTTTTAAATGATAAAGAATACCTGTTTAAGAAATACACAATATTTAGCGGTATCACCTCCAATATAACTTCCTACAAAAACATTTTCTCCCCCAAAATCTTCGAGTACCCAAGGGATATGCTCTTCAGCCTTTAATTCGCGAGTTTTAGGATCAGCAAGGAAGACTTGTGTTGTCTTCTTTTTAAATAGATTTTTTTTATTTTGCCTTGCACCAGCGTAAGGTGCAATAGCAGTTAAAGCAACCTCGGAAGTAGGTTTATTATTAATAGGTGCTGCTACTATATTTTGAGTTGGACGATTATTATTCAAAATAATCATATTATTATTATTATTAATTCCTCCGTTTTGAGTTGGTGCATCGGGATCTCTCCTATGTAATTTAATAGGTGCATTGAATTTCGTGAGATCCACAGGTTGTCCACTTTTTAGTCTCATAATATTTATTTTCTTCCTTCCAACTAGTGAAGAAGGGGTAATAATAAATTCAGCCTTAAGGGTTAGTTGAGGTTGTGAAGCAGTTTGTGACATGTTTCGCACAGGAAAACGTCCTGCCGGTGGACGTGGTGGACGAACAACTAAATTAGGAGCTATAGGTCTAGGAGGTTGCGGACAAGGAAGAGGAGGTACATTGCTATTTTGACTATTTTGATTACTTTGATTATTATTTTGATTATGTACTAAAGAAGTTCGAATAGTATTAGGTGGTCGACTAGGTGTTGGCGATCTATTGGAATTCACCAATGCATTTTGTGGATTTGGTGGATTTGAAGGTCTAACGGATGTTGGTGAAGGCCTATTTGGACTAGTCATTTAATTTTGGCTGACACAGGGAAATAACAAGTTAATAAGGTGATGAAATTTTAATCATAAGACAAAATAGTTCTTTGCAATTGGCTTATTTAGTTCTTATAATAGATAATCATATGATTGCAAGACAAATTGTTTCTTGCCTGTATCACGCACTTTCGGACAAGCATTTTTATCCACTATCATATTATTTGATATCAAGCCTTCGATATCACAAGAGGAAATTTCAGGTTTCATTAAAAATACTATAAAAAAACTATTTTGGGATAATTATTTTGACTTTATATGATAAGCAATTTTGAGGCATGTAAGGCATGTATAATCGGGAGGCACCTTTTTCTTGTCAAAAGATTTCTCATTATTGATCCCTCTTCTCCTGTTAAGTTTTTTATCTTTAATAAAAATAAATAATAAGCATTCTGTTGTTCTTTGGAGGAGGGAAAATAGAAATGGAAAGAGTTAATGATAATGTGACTAAGTCACATGTTATGTAGTATATATGTCTATACACTTTTGTATACAAACAATTGTTTCATGCAAACCAAACATGAATTTTATTAAACAAAATACATTCAGAATTTATCAAATATTGTATTCAATATATAAAGTTTTTGAAATAGTTCACAAAAAAGATTGCAATACATAAATAATAAATATGAATTTCATGATGATATTTATTATAATCTTTATATAATAATCTATATATAATAATCTATATAAGTAAATAGGTCAATCCATGACCTAAAATGACCTATCATTTATTAACGACCTAAAATGACCTCCATTCATGTTCATGTCATAATGATGAATCAAATTCATATATAGTTTTCTCTTATATTATGTAAGCCAGAAAAAAAATATTCTCCCTAATATATAATTTCGTAGGATATTTAATATCCAAGGACAATGCATTAACTTATTTTGAACTTCAATAATTTTCCGAAGTTACCATTTTTGATCATTTCATTTTCTCAAAATAGAATAAATAGAACGAAAATATTATTATATATTATTATTACATAATTTTTATTATTATTCACATACTAAAGATACTAAAGATACTAAAGATATTAAAGATATTAGGGGATACATAAAAAAGAATTAACATAACTTTCTCTTATTTGTAATAAAAAAAAGGGGGGGAGGGATAGAGAATTTAGTGATATAAATAAATATTTACAATGTGTTTAAAAAAAATGGGAAAAAAATATTATTTTAAAAATTATTTTCTAAAAATGAAAAAATAAAAAAAAAAAATAAATTAATATTAGTACAAAAATAATCTATAATAATAAAATATATAATAAAATAAAATAAAGATGCTTAAATACCATAAACAGGTTCCTCGAAAGGTTGAGCCTTTTCAATAACTGGTATAAAATTTTTAGCATTTTTTAAAGCTTTCACAGAAAATCCTTGACTATACCAAGGATGAGGTTGTTGATATTTCAAAACTTTTAACCATCCAAATACTTGAGCATAATTTACTATGACTTCTAAATATGAATCTTGTATTAATTCACTTTGATATAATACTAATTCCCTTAAT